TCCGCAGTGAGATGGCAAAACTATCAATAGGTCTATTTTCAGTGAAGTGTCAAATAAATTCGGTTTTGTCCCTTTAGATGAGAACGAATGCGCCACAAGAAATAAAAACTGCGAACAGTTGTGCCGCGACACTGATCAAAGTTATTACTGCGAATGTCACAAGGGCCGCAGAGTGAGACTCGACGGATTCACGTGTCATGGTAAAACATTTAGGAGCAGCTCTAAATCCAGCTTTGTGATGCCAGGTTGCTGAGTGTTTGAGGGAAATCTCGGGATGGAAAGTTAGTGGCCACTAAATCCTCAGTGGCCCCACTCTCCCCTTTCCCTTTCAACTTTTTACTCCGACGAAAGATGTCCATTTCTCAAACTGTGGTAATTCTCTTCTCAATTATAAAAGCTTTAAGACTATGTACGTTTAAGGTTTAAACAAATAGTTTTATCAAAATAATGATTCATTGAAAATGTTCTCAGAATATATTATTGACATGCATCTTTCATTTAAAATTTTTGTTGTTCTTTTTGTTTCTCAACGATTTATCTTTTACTTCTGTCAAACCTTCGTGCATTCTGTACAGATTTAGCCTTTTCAATGTTTCTGTTGTCTTTCAGATTTGGATCACTGCCAACACACGTGCGTAAATACACCAGGAAGCTACTTCCGCAAGTGTCACAAATGATTCATACTCAGTGCCAATGGAAGAATTTGCAGGAGTAAGGGACCATTGCTTATTTATCTCCTGAGGTAGGGTGGGAGGAGTGTAAAAGATTTTGGGGTGCAAAAGATTTTAGGGGAGATCTCATGGTTTACTGGGGAAATGGAGAGGAATCAGTCGTCGCCAAAAGAGTGTAAAGGGGGAACTATAGAAAATTGACCGCCAATTAATTGCCAGCGAGGGAGGGGTCAGAAGAGTGTTACAGAGCACCAAGGGTGGGGAGAGCGGTAAATTTCATGGTGACACAGCCAAAATTATTTGAGCTCCTTGCCCTCCCCCCTTCTCCCAGGCGATAAATAAAGACCGGCCCGAAAGGGTCAGCAGATATACGGACGTTAACGTATTTAGAAGATTACCTTCGGATTTCAGATCGCTCAAAGTACGACTTGATGTTGAAAATTCTGAGGCTAAATTCGTCCCTGGGAACTTATTTTAATTTCTTTGAACATCCATCTTTTTTTTATGTGTGGAGGGTCACAGAATGTCTTTTCTTATCTCAAAGATTTCATTTTCAGATGAAGATGAATGTTTGATGGGAGGAACAAAGTGTGAGCAACAGATGTGCTTTCAAATGAAAACGAATCGATTCGAAAACGCTTTCAAAAGTGGAGAAAATGCAGGCATATCGGTTTTGTGTGAACGTTCGAAAACAGAACCTTTTGAAAACAATAACGTTGGGTGACGTCATTGCGTCAAGACAAATATAGCGGACGAGCAAATGGAAATTCTTTTGTTGTTGTTGACTGGTTTCATCGCTTGTTATTTAGTCTTCTTATATCTTGTTATTTAGTCTTTCGTTGATCACCCTTCGAAGAGGAATATCCATTCTGAGAACATTGGTTCTCTCTGATGGTTCGCAACGCAAGACTCAGACAAGTAGGCCATATGAAAGGCCGAGAATATTTTGGTTTCGACCAGGACGAACAAGCACGTGGTGGGCAAATTTTGTCAACGAGGACGTGCGTAGACTGACGAGTACTTCACATCAAGTGATGTATGCATTTTTGAGTGTTTTAGTGAGTGGACAGCCATAAACGCAATGAAAAATTCTAGTAGTCAGCCCCAGATGGATGAAAAAGAATTCAACTATCGTTTAGGTCGCCTAACTGTGAAGACATCAATGAGTGCGCCAGAAACAATGGCAGAGGAGACTGCGACTACGCATGCACTAACTCTGATTCTGGGATCATTCCGCTATTCTTGTGCTGCGGGCTTCCATCTAGATGCTGATGGGCTGACCTGTCATGATATAAATGAGTGTCAAGCTAACAACGGAAAATGCTTGCAGAAGTGCATTAATACTCAAGGAGACCACTCATGCTTCTGTTTTGAGGGTTTTGTGTCATTGGTGCGTATCTTATTTTTTTTCTCTTGCTTATTTCTCTTTCTACCGGGTTATTTGTGACATTCCATGACGTCAGATAATCCATCACACACAGAGTTCATATCTGACGCACAAAATGCAAACTGTTTTTTTTTCGGGGGGGTGGGCCTTTTTTTTGTCTCTAAGCTTTTTGTTGTTCGGCTTTTCTTCTATTGTCCTTTTTTTTTTTTTTTTATTTTGTATTGTTTTGTTTTTTTTCGTTGCAAGGGTCGAGGACTTGTATCAAATTTGACTGCACTAAGTGAAACATGGTGTCCCTCTCTCTCTTCTTTATTCTATGGTCCTTACTTTCTCTTTGCTTTCCATAAATGAGTGTTTTGATGAGATAAACCAGTGTGACAGTCTCGCGAATTGCCACAACACTCCTGGTAACCACTCGTACCAGTGCCCTGATGATTATTCCTCTCTGTGGAAGGACTGTATCGGTGAGGCCGGTGTTTACACATAAAGAAAGTAACGTTGTCATTGTTTTCATAAACCCTTCCTGCTTTTCAAAACGACAATATAAGATCAGTAAAAGATAAAAAATAATCCGTCCAGGTTTCAGGTCTTTGCAATTTCCCACTATTAGTTATCGGCCCAATTTTGAACACGAATTTTTCTAGTTTAGAACTGTAACGCTGATTGTGCCCATCTGAAGGAGGTGACATGTGGGCACCCTAAATTTACCCTATGCCTACCGAAAATATTCACCAAAACAGGTTTTCTAAAAATTTAAATGCTTGAGGCACAAAAATTAATTTCAAACAATAAAATCATTTTGATGTAAGTGAAAGCTCTACAGGCTGCAAAATTTTTCGCCTTTCGTTAATTAGGAAAAAGGAATTGATTTATTATGGAAACTACGCCAAAACACTTTCAAAAAGTCAAATTAGAGAGATAATTTGCCTTTCGGTCTAGAGATAAGGATCCTTGTTATTTTGCAGTTCGAATTTTTATGATGTCTCGTAAAAACTTTGATCGTTGATGTAAAGTTATCCACGAAATTGGGTATCTATATAAACATCGATAAGCAATAAAAAGCAACAAAGACGAAGGGCTAACGCTCGAAACGTCAGCCTTTAAACTCTTTACGGAGGCCAATTTACTTTTTCAACTCAGTTAATAACACTAAATTAACCAATTTTTTAAAATCGTACGTTATCAAAATGAAACCCCACCCACCTCGCAGGCAAACAAATGCTCTTTTATATTCCATCTTATTTACCTATTCTTTTCTATTCTTGTCTGGTCGTATCTGGGCAACTGGGTTTTATACTAGTCTAATCCACTATATTTTTATATTTTTCTATTCTAGGCCTTTAACTATTCTATGCTCCATTTTGTTTTTTATTCTATTCTTTTACATTCTCATCTAATCTCATTTCAATAATATTTTTTCTCCTTTCTTCGCTTCTGTACAAATCTCTTCTATTATACTCTCTTTCCTTTTCTTTTCTATTCTATAATCTTTTCCTTCTTTGATTTTTACTTCGTCTATTTTATCCAAAGAGCGTTATGAGATATAGCATTTTCTTGAAGTATTAAAGATATTTTCCTTTCTATTGACATGTTAACAGTATTTTTACATGTTGTCTTTTTCTATATTTCTGTCCGTGTTTTCGGTCGCTTGCTATTAGTTTCATTGATTGCACACAAAATTTTAAAATCTACTGTGCTTTTCACATGGTATTAAAGTCTTCGCTCACGGAGTTTTCATGATCTGATCTTTTTTGAACACATATCTCGCTTTACCATTTATTTGAAAGGTTAAAAAATCTCGCACAAGGCTGAAATACTCTTTAAGCCATTTAAGCCTTTTTTACTGGTTTTTTTTTTTAATGAGAAATGTAAATTTATGATCATTGAATGATGATCATTTAAATGATAATAAAATACCCATTTAGCTTTCTGATGCATTTGTCGACTGAGTTGCCCATAAGGAAATAATTCGAAAGATGGGTAGAAGACGAATCTTACAAGAGCGTTCGAATACGAATTTCATGATACTTAGCTCGCATGAAGAGTTTTCATTTAACTGTTAAGAAGTTGCTTATTGTTTTGTTTCATTGTGTAGAGTTTTTTTTTCTTCTCTGGGAGCTCACCTCAGCGGATGGACTATAATCAGCAAAATAAAAAAAAAATGCAAAGTTGTCATGCAATATGATACATAACACTTTCTGGGGGAGTACAAGATCGTACACTCTTTTTAATCGCAGTTACTGCTGAATATTGATTCCTTTGCAGTTTTTCTTTCTCTTTTTTTATGTGGTGTCTTTTTGTATACTGTTGGCGCTGTCAGTTTCGTGCCATCCACCGCAGTCTTATTGTCAAAAGAAATTGCTGTTATTTCTCACGGTGTGAATGAAACGAAAGTGTGTTCATCAATTTTCCTGTCATTTTTAATCCTAGTATGTCGTAAAAAATCCGCTTTTTTGAGGACGAATTTCCCTTCTATATGAACACTTGAAGTCTAGTCTAGATTACTTGAGCTTTCTGAGGAAATTAGTTTGAAAATCTCATTTCCTAAAGCAATAACACCTTATTTGAAATGGTGATGAGAGTTATAAGTAATTCGTCCCCTTAAACAGTCGTTAAAGGTTTGAAAATATTGTTAAACCACTTAAACCTTTTGATATTTCCCTTCCTAATGGAAGCAAAAAAGTTATGCACAGTTACCGTCTTCACATTGCAAATACGCCAGCTTCCAATCAAACATAACCTTAATGTTCCGATAGTTCGTTGTTCCCTGGCAGATCAATCAGACTACGTAGTGTCACCAGTATTTTCTTTACAAAAGTTAAAATAAGCTTGTCACCTCTTCAAATACGGACGGTTTAAAAGTGTTTAAATTCGTTTTCGGCGGTTTCCGTTAAATTTCCGAGAAGTTTAAGGACAAAATTCAAGCACAGTTTAAATCCAAAATGTCTGATCCCAGGAGTTCAAAGGAAGACAATTTCTTCATCTCTCAAGCCATCCTAAGCATCGTGTTCTCCACGTCAGCTCTCCTCTCAAATGTGTTCTTAATGATCACCGTATGTCGAAATACAAACTTGAATCAGAGGATTTGGCAAACGCATGCGACTTACTTCGTGGTAAACCTGAGCATCTGCGATCTTCTGGCCGGTCTTGTTCCCGGATACGGAGGCCTCTTCTACAATATCTCTATTTTGAGAGGCCAGACGCGAGAAAGCCTCGTTGGTCTCCAAATTTTAATAGTTGTTGCTGCTGTCATGACAAATATCGTCTCATCATGTACCATAGTTTTAATGTCTTATGATCGTTGGTTAGCAGTTTCGTCTCCTCTGCATTACAAAGCTCGGGTGACCAAAGCGAGGATAAAAGCAGTTCTAGCTTCTACCTGGATTTATTCCTTGATATTCTCTAGTCTTCCAGTTATGGGAGTGGCATTATCTCTGTTCTCTCTCCTTTACTGCCACCTTCACGTCTCGGTTCCCCTAATAATCTTGCCGGTGTTATATTGGAAAACATTGCGAGCTCTTCGCCATCACAACAATCAAGTGCAAGATGTAGCAGATGATAATGGAAGGCAGAAAATGGACACGGCCCACAGGAATAGAGAACACAAAATGGTGTCGGCATTTCTCTTGATTCTTGTTTTCTTTTACCTATCTTTCGGCCCACAGTTTATCGCTCAAAATGTTCTTGTTTTTTGCCCAGATGCCATAAGTCAAGAAAGTTTTCGTTTTTTCTTGTACGCGTCTAACAAGTTCCTTTTGATAAATTGTTGTTTAAACCCCTTCATCTACGCGTGGAGAATTCCGACCTACAGGAGAGCTTTCAGGGAGATTTTTAGTGACTGTGTTCGGCTTCCGAGAAACAGTGTCTCACAGTAATGCAAAATGACGTCAACAATTGGAGGGACCATGCATGCAACTGTGATGGTCGAAGGGTTACCTCTACAAGGAAGACGTGTATAGTTCAGCAGTAGATATCGATTTACCAGAGGAATTACCCGAAGGAAACATAAATTGGAAGCACTCGGGAAAAGTAAGTAAATCACGAACAGACGGCGACTGAATTATAAATTTAGTTTTCGAGTTCTTCCTGGCGGTCTCAGTGCGTTTTCTGTCTGGTAAACCGATAGAAGGTGCGGCGTATTGTTTTCAGCAGTAACATAGCTCTGGACTTACGGATAGAAGAAACGATAGGACCGAATCTCGAATCCCAGTGACTCTAGCTACGTACATTTTGAGTTTTTCAAAGTAATTCAAGAAAATTTATTTGCAAAAGTGAACAAGGAGGTAACCAAGTTCATCTCTGATGCGTGGCCGAATGACTGTCACTTTCGTATGGATATTCCCCTTGTTTTAAACTGAGGGCCAAACAAGAAAAGCACTCAGTAGAATCTCTGATTACGACCTTTTGTTCGGAAACTTTTTGGCGAAGGAACCGTTCATGGCCTGGATGCGAGGTGTAATTTATAATCAAGCAGGACTGATTTATGGCATCAGAAAACTGATCTAATGGTGATAACTGTAAATTAACAATCATTGCAATAAACATATGTATACCCATGGGTCGACAACACTATTGTTATAGAAAAAACAAACTTATGTAGATTGAAGAGTTGGCTATTGGCAGTAACAAATGATTTTAAATACATGGAACTTTCAGCATAACATATGACCTCGAAAGGTTGACTATTTGGAGCACGAACTTGTTTTGAATTTATGTTAAATCAAGGTGGTTGTGATTTATATGAAATACGTGAAGATTTTCCCAAATTGTTGTATATTGTAAGTGTTGTCTGCCTTGTCCTATTCCTTAATTGTTGAGAAACATTGTGCCAAGTGAAGTCCGACGAATAAAGGTCGTTATTCATAATGTCATTGAAATGTTGCATTATCACCACGGTTCCTGATTTTGTATCATGACTACCGTTCCTGATTAAGTGAGCTTTTGGAAAAAGAGCCCTTTGCCTTGAGCCGCACTATGCCGAGGATTGGCAAAAACTTGGAAGATAAGTAAAATATTGAAACATAAAGTGCCGACGTTTTAGCAAACGCTCACATCCTCTAAGATCCTCAGAGAAACCTACAATTCGTTTATTACTTTTGATTCACCTCTCAATAAGAAATTAATACATGATTACATATTTATACCAAGGAACACTGTATACAGGACAATTAAAGTGTACGGTAAAATAATTCCTAGAGAGAGATTATCTGCTCTGCCGAGAGGGCAGTAAATATTAAAAAGAACAGATGCAGGAGTTCGGTGATATCGAACGTCTCATTTTAACACGTCAAAGTGTCATGGCATATTACAATTGGAAACTATTTTACAAAAAGCCAGAGAAAGGAACACGACTCAACACGCGAAATTGCTGAAAATTTGTTATTCCACCTACGTGTGGTCTCTGCAAGAGGCGAAAGATTTCGTAATTCCTAATTATAGAGATTAAAGTTCTTTTTCTCTATTAAGATTAATTGCAGCTACAAAAGGAAATGGTAAGACTATGAGAATCAAGGTAATTTTCATGATTACGTTTTATTTCTGGTCCTTCCTTGATACCGTAGTAATTGACATTTTCAAGGAGTCAATTCTCCAGTTACAAGTAGTTCCTAATCATTTGTTATTGTCTCTGACAATGCTGGCCATTAGTGGTTACTTGGAAGAAATTATAGGATAAATGGTATGATAATTATATTAGAAAGTTCCCCAAAATGAGAGATTTCTATGATTTTGATATATTCAATCTCTTTTACTTCTGAAGAATTATGGAAACCAAACATCAGGATTTGCATCCTCTAAGTTATAAAAAAAGTCGCCTCTAGGTGTTCACAGAGTGCTGGTTCACTCATCAGAATCAAATAGGAGAACACGCAATTTGATGTAATTTCTTTACGGTGTAGAACTCCTGTAAGGTGTTGGAGATCGCTCATTTCCTAGCTGTAGTGGGCACTATTTTGTCTATAGCAATAGTCGTTTCGAAAATCATTTTGCTTTTTATCGTTTATTTGGATCCTAACAGAAATCAAAAACTCTGGCACACGCCTGCAATTTTCTTGGTAATGTTTCCATGGTAATTCAAAAGCACGTCGTCAACCGCAGCGACCACAAAGGCAGCACTGAGCCTTAAGAAATACATAACACTTTCTTTCGGTTTATCGGCCTAACGCCTCACGAGAAATGTTGCGATGACGCGCGATATGAATATTATTGTGTTTCTCATCATCTCAGGTGTGTTATGTCGCCGGTACACTAGTAGGAAGATGGAACTTGCTCAGTTTCGTTAGGGGTTTGCAGGGTAAATTGGAGGCAACAACCACCGGGTGGAAAATGGTTCATTAGAATGACATAGTATAATTTGCGGACTATTATGCAATGCATAGGAAATTGCGATAAATGCATGAACGCTACGCATAGATTTAAATTCCTTTATTAAAATCTATTTTTATTCATTTGGTCTCCTTAAACATCTTGTCGTAGTTTATAACAGAACAGTCAAATATGTACGTCGGATGGGCAGCAAAGCGAGTAGCTTTTTGTTTTTTGTTCACGCATGTCATGATGTCATGTATTCTTGGGTATTGGCTAGCGATGCATAATTCATCAAATATCCTTGCTTAGACGAATATTCCCCAGTTAAAAGTACATGTGAGGAGACTACCCGTTCAAGCGCAAATGAATTCACGAAGGTCCAAAGATTAAGCTTTTAAGCGACACTTTGATTGAGACTTTGCGAAAGTAGGAGTAATAGAAAGTCTTATTTGAAATATGTAATCTGGGACAATTAAGATTATCTGTAAGCTGTATTCAAACCACATTTGCAGCTGGTCCTTTTGCACGGACAATCATCTTCTTTTAGAAGACCAAACCAGAACCTATGATTATGACCCCCATTTTATCATAGACACTTTGGGTAGGTGAAAAAAAGGAATCCTCTTGTTTTATGCTAGAGTAATTTCTCTTTCAATCAAACCACACTGATTTGCGATTTCCTGACTATCATAGTAAAGAATTAGCCCTGAACTTAACAATTTCATATGGCCTCGAAATTGTAATTTCCGTTGCACGAAATTGTTTTCCATTCAATTTTGACTGCAAAAGCGCTGTCACAGTTTCTTAAAATTCTTTTTGTACGTATTTTAATTCACTTCAAAATTGTCCTTATTTGTGGTATACTGCTGGTCTCGTTTGTCAGATTTTATGTTTTGTTTTCAGCAAAAGTCATTAAATAATTTTTAAGTGAGTCTTAAGTTTAAAAGCTCATGAATCTTTTTGGCAATGAAGTTAGAGGAAGGAGTCTTCTCATTAAGAGCTATAGTCAGTGCACATCCTTGATGATGCTTGATAATGGTTTGGATGATGGATTGGTCGAATACAGCGATAAAACTTAAAAGCCGAACATTAAGTTAGGATAGAGCATTCTGAACTGTGTTAAAAAAAAAAAGAGAGGCGCCGTGGATTCTTTGTTATTATAATTCTCTATATAAAGCCACCTCATTCAAAAAAGTTAAGCTTATCACCTTTAAATCTGCCCGTTTAGTCGCATTTCTTGAGATAGGTACTAAAAAAAAAAAAAGCGAAAATAACTCCTAAAATGTTAGACCACTGTAACGAAGCGCACGGAGGCCAGAATTTCTTTCACCTTCAAGCCTCCTTGGGTATCATGTTAGCCACACCCGCTGTTCTCTCGAATGCGTTCTCGCTGATAACCATCTATCAAGCTCCTAAAGAGAGAAAAAAATTAGGCAAATACCTGCAACTCTCTTAATTGTGAACCTTCGCATTTGCGACTTACTGGCCGGACTTGTACCGGAGTACGGATTCGTTTTTTTACGATATCTGTATTGTAAGAGGCCACATGCAGGGAAGCCTTGTTGGATTACAAATTTTAGCGTTTTTCCGCTGCGATCGTGACCAACGTTGTTTCATCTGGCACCATAGCTGTGATGTCTTTAACCGTTTGTTCGCAATTTAATCTCCTCTTAAATACAAAGTGCGGCTAACCAAAACGAAGAGACGTGTTAAAGTAGGGATTGCGCTGATTTGGATTTATTCTCTGATATTTTCGAGTCTTTTTGTGAGAGGAGTGACAATCACTCTGTTCTTGTTCTTGTATTGCCGTCTTCATGTAACGATTCCTATTATCGTCTTGCCTATGGTATACTGGAAAACATTCCGTGCCCTTCGCTTGTACATAATAACCAGGTGCAAGATGTAGCTGATGATGAGGGAAGACGGCAAATGGAGCAAGGAACGCAAAATGGTATCCTGTTTCTCGTCCTTCTCGTTTTGTTCTATGGATCTTAGCCCAACAATTCAGTTTTTAATTTGACCCGAAATACATAAATTAAGAAAGCTTTCGGATCTTTCTGTTTGCATCGAGCAAAATTGTCTTAGTAAATTGTTATCTAAACCCATTCATATACGCGTGGAGAATTCCAATTTACAGAAGAGCACCAACGGCGGTTTTCAGTGGCTGTGTTCGCCTGCCAAGAAACACAGTTTCCATAGTAATGCAAAAGCTCGCCGTTAACCGCAGTGACCACACAGGCAACATTAACAGTTTAAGATCTGATGGATCACTTACATAACTAAAAGACAGCACTTTCCATCGGTTTACTGACGCAGTCCCTTTCGCGAGATGTTTAAAGAACACGAAAAAGATATTTTACTCAGGAACCGATTTCCTTAAGATCTCAAGCTTATTGGTTTGCTAGGAGAAGTAAAAAATCCCGTCTGATGCTATTTCAAGTAGCCGTGGGTTTACCGCTGTTGACTAACGACAAGCTCTTGCGTAATATTTCAGATGTTTTTTAACCACCTATGAAGTTTGTAAGTTTATCCAGATGTTTCAAAATATTTGTCTATTCAGAAATGGTTTGATTCTACTCTGGTTTGCAGATTTAATGAATGTAACCGAAGAAGTTACAATTCATAAACCCAACGATTCGACACTCCTGTCTAGTGCCTTCATCAGGGGTTGATCAAAACGCATACCATGTCTGATTGTCCACCTGGTTGCCGTGTGAACTTTAATATATTTGTCTCTTCTTTAAGCTAAATTTGTCGTGAATTTGTCGCTTGGATAAATGCGCAACGCAAGATTAGGGCGAGATATAATCTCACGACACGTGGGATTATGGAAAGACAATAGCTAATAAGAAAATGGACAAGAAATATCAGGTTATGGACTGGGAATGTTTTAGCTTTAGAAGCGAACGGAAATATGTTTCCTCGGACGTTCACGCTGTAGATCATCGATCAATTAAAATTACTATGTTACATTCCTTATTTTTCTCCGCCATTTTCATCGACAAAATTTCTCAAAACTCTGGTTTAATTATTCGGTAGGCTCGAGCAAGAATATGACGTATGTAAGAACGCTAGGGGCCAGTAGAGTTCAACATTCTTTTTTTTTTCAAAGGGGGTAAGTTTCTAAAAAAAACTGTGATGCTGCGTCGGCGAGAGGGTGTAACAGGGTAATTTAGTGTTATCAGCTGAGTTGATAACGTAAATTGGCCACCGTAAAGAGCTTTAAAGCTGACGTTTCGAGCGTTATCCCTTCGTTAGAGCGATTGGAGGAATTGTGGGCTGTGTGTGTACGCTGCTTGGAATGATTGGGAAGATTAAAGTGTCTAGCGACTGGTTTGGATGCGTCCCGTCATTTCTTTCTACGTCGCGAAGGTGTTCTCGGAATCGGTCACTTAGTCGTCTTCCTGTTTCACCAAAGTAGAACATTTTGCAATAAGTGCAAGTTTTGCAATAGATGACATTGACGGAGGCGCACGTGAAGTGATCAATGATCTTATTGGATCTCTTGGATCGACCCAAGAGATCCATTAAGATCTCAAAAAGGTGAAACATGGTGAAACATGAAGATCTCTTGGTTTCCGACATTTCCTCTACGTTACGAATGAAAGGATAAGTTTTTATCGTGAGTAAGTGCATTTGAAAGTTCCAGGTGTTCTCGGAATCGGTCACCTAGTCATCTTCCTGTTTCACCAAATTATAGCGCCTGGTAAAACTCGACTTACGGTATGCCTGTGGCTTGACACCACATTCACACAGACAAAATGTTGAATGGAAGGGAACTAAACTATCACGTGTGGTATCGAAAAGATACCTTTTGGAGCACGGAATTGTCTTAGATTTAATTTTGAATCGAAAAAGACTGAGAATGAAAATAGCAACACACACTAAGAGGAAATACGGAGGAAAAGGGCGAAATGGCCACGTGCACTTACCTGTTTATTCCTTTATCCAGTATCAACAGAGAATACACGCACTTACTTGTTTCAGCCACAGTTGTCTAATTTCCTTCTCTTCCATACGTGAATCTCTTTCAAATTCGTTCAGAAATATGAAAGCAACGCTTTGTACACTTTTGATCTGAATGCTCAATGAATTGCCCATAATTTGGTTTAGGGAGTGCTAGGAATAAATTCGAAGCAAGAACCCGAGAAAACACCAAATTTTGTCTCCACTACACAACAAATAACACAGTAGTGTACACCAAATAAGTTTATTTAGGGAAGCCTGCCGAGAACCAACCCGAGGCATATATAGCACGGGGCATGCATACATACATATATTCGCAACTGATATACCATATACAATCCTGATATACAGTCAATTCCTTACACATTAAAAAAAAAAAGGTATACATTACTAACATGCAAACTTCACCAAGTCTGGATTAACAAAGGTGGGCAACCGCTTACAAGGACATAACTACGGTTATACAGAGGCCAGAAAAAAACCTGCCAGAAAAAACCCCTTTGGGTAAAAAACATGACAGGAAATCTGGGTAGGAACCATGGCCCAAACTCAGAGCAGTTGGCAGCCCATCCTACGAGGCTTCACAGCTAAAGAAAATATGTTTTCAAACTAAACTAAATTTGTCATCAGCCAGAGGTGAACGGTTGGTTTTGAGGCCTAGATGGACGCCACGTGCTATACTTTCCTTTATATACCACTGCATCATTACTCATGATGCTCGGGCCTAAGGCCCAGGCCTTGTCGTATCTCGTGCCGACAAAATATGTATTTCTGCCTTATTCGCAGACTCATTCGTCAGAAACGCCATATGTTTACGTAGCGTTTAGGTACCCGCTGCTTGCTGTTCTTTTTGGTGACAAACCAAAATTCTGAGTTTGCCAGGAGTACTCAAATTATCTTTCATTGCATATTCTGACGCTTTACTTTGTTCTAGGGAGAGCTTGTCCATTGATGAGACAGGCAGTGGATTTAACCTTTTTAGGCATATTGCGAGAATTAGTAGTCGAAGAAGGGTCGCGTGTGTTATTCACATTTAGGAATGTCCTTGTATTTGGTGGCTGCAATATAACAGTGTAGGTTTCATTAGTAGATGTAATTGTTGTCAAAAGGAGAAAATAGAGTGACGTTTGTTTTGACCACTACGTCTGACATATGTTCATCTTTTTTTCTCCTTTTTTTAGATGGTGGTAGGTTTCGTAAACTCAAGTGTACGATACTGAATATTCGTAGTTTGGCTGATGGGTCGTAGTTTTGTATTAAACAGAGATTACACCATGTTTAGCCACGGTTTTCGAATTAATTTAGGGATTAATCATGTTTCATAATTTTATCGGAAATAAATCTTAACTAGCTGCTTCATTTTCAATGCTTTAGCCTTAAAATTTTTCGTTAGTAAAAATCTTTTCTCTTGATTCTATAATAAATTGAGACAGGTCTGTGTTCCTCGATGTTTTTTTTGTTTTTATTTTTGTTTTGTTTTGCTTTTTTTCTGTGGACAGTGAGTATCTTGATTCAGGATGTTTCCATCCACAGTTTTTTGGGCAGTCTCTCTCCTCTCAGCAGTGTACAATTGAACTTGTATTAAGCGGTCACCCCGTATTTAACGGTTGGTTGCTAAGTCCCAGATTTGTTTCTTCTAAATCACTATTACCTTTGACGAAGCTTCATCGACCTGTTTGCATTGTAATTAACCTTTTTTGAACGGTCACTCAAGGATGAGACATTCTAGAGTAAAGAATAATCTTTCAAGTAGTTTTTAATCCATGTTTCTCTTCCAAAATCAGGGTAAGTAGTATTTTTGAGCGAAATTATGTGCATATTTTTTGTCAATTATGGCATAATGTGGCGTTGTGTATCGTTTTTTGTTAGGTCTTATAAGACCCCTGATCTAAGGAACCTGTATTAGCGGTACGTTTGCTCTGCCATTTCCTGTGGGTGGCCGCGTAATGCAGGTTTGACTGTGTATGAAACCTTACACGGTAACAATCACCTTACAAAATTCTGAAAGATAACCTGCAATTACAAACAAGGCTCCTTTGGCATTTTATCCTCTCGGGGAAGGGGTTGGGGTAGCTACTATTTTCTTTACCTCTTAATATTCTTAATGTGGGCTCAAGATCCCACAACCTTCCATCCTTGAATGCTATGGAAATGCCAAAAATCTGATTCAGCGTTTTTACTCTTTTCAGCTGTAAACTCAGCTAGTTATTGTCCTTTAAAAATAGCTTTAAATGTTTCCTGTCGATGCTCGATTTGTCCCCAATTATTCTGTTAAAATTGAATACTTTACCACAGCTTTCTAATTTGGCTAAGACTCATGACACAATCATCACTGCTTTTAGCATTTGAAACTTCTCTCCACCACGAATGACTAATTGATAATGGCATGATTTATACATGTATGCTGTTTTTCAATAACAAGAAAATTGGGAATTTTGCTTGTAAAGGAATTAAAACTAGGTCACAACGCATGTGAAAGTGGTATAAAAAGGGACGGCCAGCCCAAAAATCACATCTTTCCTTTGCATAAATAAGCTTTCGGGTAAATCCAATTGAACTGAACAAAAACAATAGACAACTCTTTGGTGTCTGGCACTTAAGTAAAGCTGCCGTCCAAACATTTTGCATCGACCACCTTGCATCATAGAGCGGTCAAAATTAACAGTAAGTTCTTTTATGTCGATTAAAAAAAATTACTAAAATTTGTCTTTCTTTCACTAATGCTTATGCGCCCAGCGCATGCCAACTCAACGGAAAATATTATATTGCGTTCAAAATAATTACACTGGAAACAAAAAGCTTGTTCATCGCTTAATTACTTCTTCTGCTTCCAAAGAAATAAAGAAGTCACAATTTTTCAATGATCTCAAGAAGAAAAAAATCATAACATTAAAATGGCATCATATGTTGCAATGAAGTTAGAATTTAAAACTAGAGTTAAATTTGTCAGTGTTGATTGAGTAGATTACCGAGGTTGCTTACTTATGATTCCTTCTTTATGTTATGTGCGCATTCTATTGCTGGCGCGGTTTTCCGTTGAAAGAAAGGCACCGCGATATTTTTTCTGCCTTTTGAGTTTAAACTTTTATGGACACTTTTCCGTCGGGGAGTGCCTTTTGCATTGTTAGACTGGTGGCGGATTTTTAACAGGAAGCGCCTTAATTAATTTTTCTCCTATAGCAAAATGGCCGTAGAAGTTTTCTTTATCTGATGCAGTCACCAACAACATAGTCTTAGCGAGTTGCTTCGCCGGTTTGTAAGTAAATTAATATTGGTCTTACACGATTTACGCCCATACATGATTTTTATAGAT